CATCCCAGACAGCGCAATGGCAAGTGAGCTTCTTTCAGCTAGAGGACCAGCACCTCTTAGGAAAATGGAATTTGATGATGTAGGAACAGGTTCCAAGATCCCGAAGATTGATTCTCCGAAGAAGAAGTACCCTCCGTTCAACGTAGGAAGAGTATTTGAGCACAATGATGAAGAACTACCTGAAGCAGAACCAGGTACAGAGGACATTTTCTGGGAAGATTCATATTCGGACATTGGCGATTCCGATGAGGAACAAGACATCTTCAAGAGCGAAGATTCTGGACCTCCAGAAGTTGCAGAAGCCCAGTTGCAGGAACTGGATCGTGAGGCAATGCTCACAGAGATCAACAGACTCACCGAGATGAAGGCACTGGCAAGGAAACCCTTGCAAGAACTCGAGAGAGAAGAGGAGAGAGAGACAGAAGAAGAAGAGAGCAACCAAGGAACAAAGTGGTTGACGACGAAATTCGTCTTCGATTGGCGATTCAGGAACGGCCGATGGATGCGGAGAGCTAGGTTAGTAGCGAGAGAGTTCAAAGGAGCAGAGGTAAGGAACGACACGTTCAGCCCAGCGACGAGCGCATCGTTGGTGAGACTTATCCCGATCTTAGGATTACAACAGGAACATTCCCTGTACTCCATTGATGTCAAGGACGCATTCTTGCAGGTCCCACAAAGGACGCGATGTGCATGTCAATTCCCGAAGGAATATGTGGATCTGTTTGGCGACCAGGACCCTAGTTGTAGGAACGAAGGTTTGTTACTGCTTAGAGTGCTTCCAGGACAGCGAGATGCAGCACTACTATGGAGTGATCATTTTGCAGGAACCCTCAAAGAGCAGAACTTTGATAGGAGCAAAGCTTGCCCTACTTTGTTTCGTGACGACAGGAACAGCATACTTGTTGTGCATGTAGATGACATTCAGGCAGCAGGGAAAACAAGGCACCTAGAGCCCAAGCTAGGAAAGCTAGGAGAAACCTACGAGCTAAAGGTTGAAGGCCCCTTCTTGACAGAGCAGGAACTTGAAGTAGGAGAGTCACACCAGACAATCCGATTCCTTAAAAGGAAATTCAGCTACCACAATCACGAGCTCCACATCACGAGTGACCCGAAGTATCTTGTGAAGCTTAAGGAAGAACTGAAGCTTACCAGCAAAGCCTCGAAGCCAACTCCGTGCACCCAAGAGTCGCAGGAACAGGACAACACTCAGACCTTGAACCAGGAACAAGCGGCATCGTTCAGGAAAAGCGTTGGCATACTCTTGTATGTCAGTCAGGACCGCCCTGACGTGCAGTTTGCCGTGAGAGGTTTGGCCTCCAAGATGTCGGAACCAACACATGGTTCTTGGAAACACTTAGTCCACCTAGTGCAGTACATGTCGAGAACTGAAGGATACCATTTAGTGTACAGGAAAACGCCTAGAGGACTCAGTAATCTCCATGAATCCATCAGGAATGGTAACTACGACTTTACAGGAATAAGGCCCAAGGAACACCACCTTTTGGAAGTCTTCAGCGATTCAGATTGGGCAGGAAAGAAGGACACAAGGCGCTCAACATCTTCAGGAATTGTTTGCCTAGACGGTCAGTGCATTTACTCCTTTTCTAGGAACCAGAAGTCGGTTAGCTTGAGCAGTGGTGAAGCAGAGTACTACGCAGGAGCGTCAGCAGCGTCAGATTCTATATTGTTGAAGGAAGCAGTAGAATTCTTGACCAGGAAACAATGCAAGGTACACTTGTACATGGATTCTTCTGCAGCTAGAGGAATTATTACAAGGCAAGGTGTAGGAAGAGTCAAGCATTTGCAGATCAGGACCCTTTTTCTTCAAGACCTCCACAAAGAAGGAACAATTAGTGTTCACCCAGTAGGAACCAAGGAAAACACAGCCGACATAGGTACCAAGCCCCTTTCAGCGAAAAGGATCAGACTGTTGTTGCACTGGTTAGGTTTTCAAACCAGCGAGAACGAACCAGTAGGCAGAGAAGAGCTCAAGGAACACAAGGCCCAAACACAAGCTAAAGCAGTTGTAAGAATGATCAAGAGCCCAGGAACTTTGTCTTTTGCAGCTTTGTTGTTTGCAGGAATTTCAGGTATTTCAGACAGTTTTCAGATTCAGAGTTTCAAGGAACAGTGTCTTGAGAGTTGTTTTCAGGAAGAAGAGTTTCAGTCAGACTTTCAGGAACATGTTTTCTGTTGTGCAAGTGCATGTGAGCAGGACGGCATGTGCAGTGACACGAGTGCATGTGAGCTAGGAACGTCTGCAGGAACAGCTCATGGAACAACATGTTGTGAGATGCTTTCGCAGCTCAAGGAACTCTGCGGAACACTCGCGGAACGCTCAGGTATCCAGGAACTAGTTCGCCCGGTAGCAGAAGGTCAAGGAAACCTTCCAGGAACCTTAGCAGCCATGGAAGCAAGCGCGAGTTCGAGCAAAAGCACCGAAGAAGTGTTCAAGGAACTTTCTACCTTGAGAGAGGCGGCAACCGCCTTAAGGAACGCTTCAGAAGAAAGGAACTTGATCGCGGAGTCGATCAGGAAGAACACAGAGGAAGCTGCGCGTTTGCGCAAAAGCCAGGAACACGTGGCTGGTTGTGTAGAGGCCTTGACAGGACAAATCTACGACGTCAAGCACCAGGTTCAGGAAATGGCCGAACAGAACGACAGAGACCGGCAACAGGTCAAGGAACACATGGCCTTCGTCCTAGGCACATGTGACACCGTGAAGGAACAGCTGAACCAGATGATGCAGGACTTCTACGAGCAGCAAGAGGAACAAGAAGAAGAGGAAGAAGACGAAGAAGAGCAAAGGAAAAGAGAAGCCAAGGACCGAGAACTAGAAGGTGAACTACGTCGTGAAGGACACGGACAAGGAACAGCACCGTCGAGAGCTACGTCACCTACGTCCCAGGAAAGAAAGGAATATTCGGACCGAGGCTACTTCGAGGGCATCCAGGAACGAGAGCAGGACAACGAGAACGAGAACGAGGCCTACGTCAGCAGCTACGTTGGAGGAGAAGATCCCGGGGAGTACCCCGATGAAGGAACAGCAGCAGCAGCAGAGGAAGAAGAAAGTGAGGAAGCAAAGGAAGAGAGAAGAAAGAAGAAGATCGCGGAGATCAACGCCAGAAGCAAGCAAAGGCTCAAGGAAAAAGAAGAGGAGAAGAAGCTTTTTCCGTACCCCTACGATTACGCCAGCGAATGGAAGGAATACTCCGAGAACGGCGAGATCTACAGGCAACACAGAGTTACAGGAGAAAAGCAGTGGGTCGACAAGGACTACACGTACAAGCACGAGAAGGGAACAAAAGGAAAGAAGGAAGGAAAAGGAAAAGGAAAGCCAAAGGCAAGAGCAGAAAGCACAGGATTTCGACCTCGAGATGAAGATGATCGCAAATACTGGGCAGAACAGGACAGGATCTCAAAGGAACAAAGAGAAGCAAAAGCAAAAGCAGAAGAGGAGAAGAAGGCAAAAGAGGAGCAGATTGCCAAAGCAAGGTTGATTCTGGAAGCGGCAGCAGACGAGCAGGAGAAGAGAGACAAGGAAGCAGCAAGGCAGGAAGCAGCCGCAGCCGCCGAGAGAAGGCGAGAGGTAGAAGCAGCAGCCAAAGCCAAAGCAGAGAGAGAAGCAAAGGAAAAGGAGGAGACCGAAGCGGCAGCAGCAAAGGAGGAAGAAGAGAAAGCAGCAGCCGCAGCAGCCAAAGAGGAAAAGGAAAGAAAGGAGCAGGAGAAGAAAAGAAAGGAGAAGGAAGCCAGGAAGAAAAGAGAGGAAGATCAAAAGGCAGCGTCAGCGTACATTGCCAAGAAGGAAGCAGAGAAGAAGGCAGCAGCAACAACAGCAACAGGATCAGGTGAAGCAGACAGGATCCAGAAGCTTGAAGAAATGATGGAGGAGATGATGAAGGAACGCAAAGAGGATAAAGAAAGGATTGCAAGCCTTACACAGGAGCTTGAGAGCAGAGGATCAGCAGCCGGGTCGCAGGCACCCACAGAACCTGACACAACACCAGCAAAGGAAGAGGAGAAGCCAGAAGCAAAAGGAACAGGAAAAGCAACAGGAAAGGAGCCACCGAACGTCACACAGCACAAGCAGAAGGAAGAAGACAAGGACGACCCAGAACTGTCCGCCAAAGGACCAGTGAACGAAGCATCGTTCATGAAAGGAAAAGGAAAAGGAGAGTTTGAAGGAAACTGGTTTGCAGTCTACAGTTTCCAGAACAGGAAATACCAGTGGAAGTGGAACGAAGCCAAGACACAGTGGTACTGGTATTCAGGATCAAAGGAAACAGGTTGGAAAGCAGCGTCAAAGGACAAGCAAGGAAAGGAAAAGTGCAAAGCGCAAGCAAAGATGAAAGAAGAGTGGCTAAAGGAACAGCTTCAAGACCAAGAGGAAGCTAAAGACAGCGAAGAGGAAGGCAAAGTGAACTTCCAGTGAAGCAAAGGAACCGCGAGCAGTACTGAGGCCAGAGAGCCGAGGAAAGAAGCAGCAGGACACAGGAACCGTGGCACAGCCCTTTTTGTTTCTGTGGTGATCTAGGTAAAGTGCAGGAACGTCTTTTGTACAGTCGAGCAACCTTGGAGAGGATTGCGAGTGAACGTGCGCATACGTTTGCAATGAGGAACAGTGTTTGTTTTGCAAGTGAAAAGGAACTGCAGCGTGTTTACTGTTTGTTCAGGAAAAGTCGGAGTCACCTCAGTCGAGGAACTTTCGCTAACTCCGAAGGCGGGGTGTTAAACATTCTGCCAGGAACAGTAACACAGCTAGTGCAGTACAGTTAATGTACAGGAACAGCCGTCACGCACACGCGACGTGCAGGCTCGAGACCCCAGGACACACCGTGCCCAGGAACAAAAGTGTCCGACAGTCTTTGTGGGTAGGAACCCTTAGTGAAGCCCGTTCTTTAACACAGTTGCCTGGAGGGCATCAAAGCAACCAATCATTACTTTGTCGGTTGCTGAAGCTGAGTTGTATGAAGGATGCTCGGCTGTGCAATTGGGACTAGGAGTGGCTGCGTTGTTGTCTGAGCTCAAGCTGGACCCAGTGATGCATTTGCGGATTGACAATGCTGCTGCTCAGGGCTTGGCCAGTGAAAGCCCGGGAACATGGAAAACAAGGCACTTAAGAATCCGAGCAAGGTTCTTGAGACAGGAAGTGGCGGCTCAACGACTGGTTATTTCTCATGTCAGCGGGAACCTTCAGAAAGCTGATTTGGGGACCAAAGGGTTTGATCTGCCGAAGTTCAAGGCCTTGATGGACCTGTGGCAGTTGGTGCCATGCTGCGCTCGGGAGGCAGCTGGAGCGGCATTGAGGGCTTTGAGGGTGACTAACCAACGTGGGTTGCTGATGTTCATCATCGTTTGCTGTTGCTTGATCAAAGGTGTTGAAGGGCGAAAAGAAGACCTAGCCTTGGATGGTTCTGTGGAGTTCTACTTTGTCTTGGTTGTTTCCTTGATTGCGGCGGTCGGGCTTTGGGAGTTCATGAAGTATGTGAAGAATAAGACGTGCGTGTGGTGGAACTCAAGGCAACGTCGCAATCAGAGGGCAGAAAGGCTCAGGAACCGCACAAGGGATGCAGTTCAGGAGGAGCTAAGACGCCGAGAAGTTGAGTTGACCCCAAGGACACCTATAACAAGGGCATCTTCATCATCTACTACCCCGGCTAGGCGTCAGGGCTCTACCGTATCAAAGTCAGATGTTTGGCAAACGAGCTACAGTGTTGGGGTGCAGACCGAACCCATGCCACCGATGATACCAGCGCACCGGCTTGAAGCTTATACAGGGCCGTTCTACATTACGACCCACGGAGATAAGGTGCACATGACATCTTACTGTCATGGCCAGCGGAATGCCACGAGAGCATCAAAGAGATACGACTTGTGTGACCATTGTGATCGGGCACGTGGTCTCTATGTGCTTACACCTCCAGATGGATGACCGTCAGGAGGCGAGGAGGAGTGCAGAGAATCAGTGCCGATCATGAGTGTTTGAGCATGAATTGCTGTGTGTGCACAGATGCGACAGCATGACGACATGCGGACTGACATTGGCTCAAGAAAAAGGCGTGTGACCTAAATTCGGAGTGCGATTTGAGGGTTGTGATTTATGTCTGGCCCCGCACAAGAGGCCCCAGGGCCTCCAGATCACGATGGTTTTAGCGACCTCCCTGCTGGATATCAGCAGGTTTAGGGTTTAGGGCTTAGGGCTTAGGTTGGCAATGAAATCCAGGCCCCGGCACATTGGCACACCCAGCAACGGGACTCTGGGGCATTGCCGAGTGAAACAAGCCCGCAGCAGAGAAACAGGCCGTAAACCGTAAACCCGTCCGCCCTTAAGCTTAACTGCACCCTTAAGCTGAAAACCCTGAATCCTAAACCCTGAACCCTCAACCCTAAATCCCCTAGACCTTCAACCCTACTTGAACCCTCAACCCTAAACCCTGCACTCTGTATGCCAAATTTCATAAAAGGGGGTGCCCCAGAGAGCTTCCAGTAATATTGTTGATGATAAGAATCCTGCATTACCTTAAGGACCCTAAACTATGGAATTATGGTATATTCCTTGTTACGGGTCACGGGTCATGCAGGATTTGTATCATCAACCGTAGTGACAATAATTCACCCCATTCCTCCATTCCCTACTGACGAAAGGTAAGATAATTCAGCAGGAGGACTTCGCTCTCGATCTGCTGGCCGACCAGGCAGAGACCCATCCCGTTAATGTAGAGGCCTTAATAATCAGAATAGGGTTCCTCTAAAGTGTCTATAAGGGCTACTTCAGGGCTATTACAAGGATATACTATAAGGGCCTTAATAGACAGAACAGGGTCTTGGGGGGCTCCTTATTATATCAAGTATAATATAATATACCCCCCCCGAAGCCCTATTCTATTTATTCAGGCCCCTACATCAGAGCTCATCGTCTTGCGGGTAGGTTCGGGTTTTAGGCTTTAGGTTTATAGGTCGTTTAGGTTTTGCTTAGGTCTAGGTTTCGCGGTTTTAAGTTGAGGTTTGAGGGCAGGTTTGGGGGTTAGCACTTTCCATTAATTAGGGTTTTGGAATGTTTTCGAGCTTGTGGTTTGGGCTCAGCTTTTCTCGTGATTCCAATAAAAAGACAGATCCATAAAAAAGGAAGGCTACGTGTGTACAGGAGAAAGCTTTCCGCACATAAACCACTACAGTCCTGCTCCCACTCAAAGGGAACTCCAGAAAGTTGGAATATGGATTAATGGTAGGATCCCCTATAATTTACCTTAAGGGGGTTACGATAGTGATATTCCAACTTTCTGGCTTCTACTGTACATCAGTCTGAAGAGCCCGAAGTCGTGATCTCCCAGCCTTATGAAGCGTTCGGCGTTTCGCGGTAGATGTTGGGGCTGCTCAACCTAACCTGTGTTATTCAAAGGTTCGGGGATCAAGGCTTTAGGGTTTTAGCTTTGCTTTCGTCGGGGGCATTTGGGGGGTGGTTCGGGCCCGATAAAGGGCTTGTGTTGACGAGTTGTAGTCTTTGAGGTTGTGGTTCGGCGTTTTGGTGTCTTGCTCTGTTTCGCATCTAGCATCTAGGGTTTCGGGGTTCTGGAGGTGGCGGAAGTTGAGAGAGGCCTGTAAACCCGAAGCCCTATAGGACACCAGCCCTGAACCCTAAACCCGGAGAGCCCCAAGCCCCAAAGGAGGAAGAAGCCGACCTCCGAGATGTGGAGGTGACGCTTCTTCAGCGCCCCAGCTGGGATTCTACAGTTTCACAGTGACAAACAGGCTGCTGGGTTTAGGCGGTTGTTTACATGTGTAGGCGTCGTGTGGAAGGCCACTTTTTTTCAGCTACACTCGGCTAATTAGCAGTGTCGTCGACTATTGGCAGTGTCACGGTCGCCATGGTCGTTCTGCTGGCTCTGTATCACCGTTACTGTCAAAGTGTTCTGATTGTAGCGGGTTTTAACTAGTTTGCCTGCTCGATTATGAACAAGGATACCTTTTGTTGTCGAACATACCTTCTGTTGCTTTCGGTTTAAGACCAATCAGCCTCCTTCTGTGACACAGATGTTTTGAGTGGCCGACTAGCGACTGGTGTGCCCTCTCCAGAACCTTCCTAGAACTTGAGCTGGTGAGGGGGTATGGAGATGTCAACGGTGATGGCAATGAGCCAGTAATCTCAAAATCCCGAAGCCCGAACTGCCAACTGCTGGGCCCCAAACCCTAAACTCAAAACCCCACACCCGAAGCGCCCTAAAGCCTTAAACCCTAAACCCTTAACCGCATTAACCCCCTAAACCCCAAACCTCAAAACCTCAAACCCTAAACGCCAAGCCCTCTGAGCGCTGAACTGAGGACGCAGCTGACTCAGCAGCGTGGGCCTGTGGCTGAACCTCAGGCAGCTGCCGAGGTGCCAGATGTGGCCTTCGTCGCTTCAGTCCTATAGGGTTTAGGGTTTTGGGGTTTAGGGTTCAGGGGTTTAGGGGTTTAGGGTTCCGGGTTAGGGGTTTGGGTTGGAAGTTTAGGGTCTAGTTTTTTGGGGGTTGGGGAGTACGGTTTAGGGATTAGGGTTCAGCGATTATGGTTTATGGTTTAGGGTCTAGGTTTTTTGGGGGATTAGGATAAAGTTTCCGGGGGTTCTGGATTTAGGGTGTCAGTGTTTCCAGCCAGCCAAACCTGAGAAGGCCAAGCCTGCATTGAATCAAAGGGGAAAAGGAGGGACCCTTAATGGGGACCCCTACCCCATAATGGGCTATATAATGCGTATACAATATTAGCTATATTAAGGGTATATACCTAGGGGTCCTTATTAAGGGTCCCTCCTTTTACCCTTGGATTGAACGGGGAAGGCCCTTGCCGAACCGCCGAACCCGTCAGATACTGGTACCTGCCGAGCGAAGACCCTGTCATTTTAGCGTGTAGTTGGAGGCTCCGGGGAATTCGTGAAAAAGATTGATATCTGTACGTAGAAGTATAGTTACCTTGCGTGTAACCCTAGTTGCCGAGTCCCATGGCTCTCCAAGTAGGGTTTGGTTCGTGGAAGCAGTCACTCTCAACCGCACACTCTAAGCCTGTGCCCGGCCCTGAACCCTCCACACCCTACATCCTACCAGGACCCTTAGGGGGTCCTTTAATCGAGCCCTTATGGTCCTTAATTGCGGGTATTTAGGGTATGGGAGAGGGTAGTTGGGGGGTGCTGGTAAGCCCTAGACTATACACTGAACCCCAAGCCCTAAACCCTGGATCTTACTATATTTCCATGGCAGCCAGGGTATTTGTCAGAGCAGAGCCGTCTTGGGAGTGACAGTAGCGAGTCGGATTCTGGAGGGTTTGATGGTATCTTTCTTTAGGGTTTACAGGTTTAGGGTTTAGGTTTCAAGGTTTCAAGGTTTCAAGGTTCAGGGTTTAGGGGTTGAGGGTTGAAGCTTTAGTTTGTGGTTTCGGGATTTGCAACATGCAGAGTGCAAGGATTCGGGTTGAGAGAAAGGCTTGGTGCTGTGCCTGGCAGGAAAGCCAAGCTGATGATACGGAGCACGTCATCACAAAGGACCACAATGGCAAGGCAGGGTTCCTGCCATATTGGTAATATGGCAATATACATATATATATATACACACACACATTTATATATATATATATATATATATATATATAAGAATAGTATCGTCTGTGGCGCATTGTTGCCATTATTGCATTGAGCCTAAATATGATGTAGTGCATGTTCTTGTAATTTTGAGCTTTTCCTTGAGCCACATTGGGGTTCGAGCGCAAACTGCAATTATATGTTGGATGCTGCCCCCACTCAGTAACAGTTGGATAATATTCATAATATGGCTATATCAGGCCCTTAATAGTAGCCCCATTATAGACTGTTACTGTATGGGGGCAGTATCCAAACTATATGCAGGTGTCAGCTTTCTTCTTGTTATCGCTGGTGCTGTTGTTGCTTCTGCTGCTTGAGGTGTCTATATGGGAGTTTCCGAAAATTAGGGGTACCTCATCTTGGGATCATGGTAATACGGATCCTACTATTTAGGGTGTCGTTGGTGGTTGTCGTTGTGGTGGCTCTAGTAGCACCGTTTTTTGCTTTGGTGATTGTAATTAGGTTGTACTTGTGGTGATGAGCTTGGTGGTCCTGATCCTGGTCCTGGTTGTGATTGTGATTGTTAGTGGTTTTGTTGGGTTCACGAAAGTGTGGAATGCCAGGCTCCTCCCAACTCAGGGGTACTGTAAACCCTTAAACTCCGAAACCTAACGCCCCAACTCCCAAGCCCGAAACCTTGAATATCCCTCAATCCTGAACCTTTGGCAACAAGTCTGAACCTCAAACCCCGCAAATCCCACCCCCTGTCATGAACGAGAGACCCTGAACCATCAGCTCCGAAGCCCGGCACGAAAACAACACCATGGTTTAGAGTTTAGGGTTTCCTACCTTGAGCCTCCATTGTAGTTCCTTTTATTGGTTTAGCCATTTTTGTAGTTAGGATTCTATAAGTGTAGTTCTCTAAATTTGAGTCCCTTTTGGGGTTCAGTATAGTACGCCATCCTTATAAACAGTATTGTGAAAAGGGACCTTAATCTAGAGAACTGCAAAAGAAGGTAACCCACAAAGGGAACTACAATGGAGACTAGTAGACCCATACCCCTCGAAGACCCTGAGACCTCCCACACAAAGAACACACCGATTAAGGTTTAGGGCTAGGGCTTAAGCATGTTGGGTTCGATGCTTCAAGGCTAGGGGGTTTCGACCAGCATTTCTTCGGTGCTTTCGGGATGATGGTGTCCAGGCCCGACCTTAGAATCCCAAACCCCTGGGCTCCTATTTCTCGCTTTTGAGGCCCCAGAGCAGGTTGAGTTTGCATTGTTTACTTGGAGGGGCAGGGGACTTAGTAAGTAGGTTTTAAGTAGGCTTATAATTGGGGTAACTCCATTAAGGGTACTTATAGCTCTAATTGTAACCTACTTACTAAGTTCCCTGCCCGTCCAAGTAGGTTTTAAGGTAAAGGGTAACCTCCACTGAGTTCTTGTTAAGGGATTTGATTTCAGGTACGATATTGACGAGACCATATAAATTTATTATAGATCCCTATTATGGGTACTTCAATGAACTCCCTTAACAAGAGCTCAGCCCAGCACCATAGCCATGAGCCCTGAACGACAAGCAGGTCTGCATGCTCTGCAACACGCCTTCCCCGGAGCGGTTGGGGAACAGGACAGCCTCCTCTGCTGCCTGTCTTGGGCTCCACTACTGGGGCTCAGCGATTATTCGGATGGTCTGACTTTCTTTCTATCTCATATTTTGTGCTTGCAGTGCAACAGAAAATATGTGTATGCGTATATGTATATATATATATACACATACACTTACACACATGCATGTGTGTGTGTGACAAGTCTGATCCCTTGACTGTCTATGTCATGGGCCCGAATCCCCACGCCTTGACCTCAACATGTGGAAACTACTCTCGAAGAAGATCTGAGACTTTTTCGTATTGCGTGCTTTCCGGCTTGCTCAGCATCTTGTCACAGGTTGGCGTTCGTGGTTGCGCCGTTGATATTCTGTCGCTCTCGTCCTCCTTCTCCTCCTGCTCCTCCGCAACAGCATATCGAATACAGCACAGCCCATAGCACTTTAAAGTCACAGACGCGTCTGTCCCTAAACCCCTGAACCCTAAACCCATACCTCCCATGGCCAGGAAATATGACCGCTTCCTGACGGACTGCGGCAGTGAATCCTCTGCGACAGGTCCCAGCAACTTCCTCAGAGAGGGTTTACGGCTGAGGGCTTTAATATTTAAGGTTTGGGGCTTATAAGGTGTAGGGTTTAGGATTTGGGTTTAGGGCATAAGGTGTAGGAAGGATTTTTGTTTCGGATTTCAAGTTTCGAAGATTAGGTCCCTAAACCCTAAACCCTAAACCCGATTAGGTTTCAGATTTCTTCGGCTTGGGGGAGAAGGAGTCGGGCTTCAGGTCTCTAGCTTCTTAGCGGAGGGCTTACTTAGAGGAGCATGGGACTCCTTAAAGGGATCTATAGGGCTCCTTCGGGGCATCTATAGGGTTCCTTAAAGGGATCTATGGGGTTTAGGGTTTAGGGTCTATAGAGGCAAGAACCACCTGAACCTCACAAAGCCTACGCCTCTGCTCTAGATCGCTTGTAACTTTGTAAAAGAGCTGCATCTCGAGTTTTATGGCTCAGACGGTTGATGATATAAATCCTGCATCCTTCAGGACCCTAAGCTATGGGAGTTATGGTATATTCCTTATTCTGGGTAATGCAGGATTTATATCATCAACAGAAGGTTTTCGAAGGAAGGTGGTGCAGTCCCCCCCAAATCAACGAAGGGGGCACCGAACCGTCGGGCCAGGTCACACGCATGTTTTTGGTTACAAATATGTCTTTGCCTTAAAGGCGACATGAACCCGAAACCGGTTTCAAGTTCATATACCGTATAGGGAGTCATAGGAAAAGGGTATATATAAATGGTCACACCCCCCCCCGTTGACAGACCATGCCCTTTCAACTCAGTCGTAGCGCATGGTCTGTGATCGGGGGGAGGGGGCACTCAGCTCTCAAAACATTCAATTCCACAATTTCCAAAATTCTATCCCCTAACTTTCCGGATTTCCAAAATTTCCAAAATTTCCGAAATTTCCGAAATTTCTTAAATTTCCAAAATTTCCAAAAAGTCAGCCCTTATGTTTTGGAAAAATCCTGCCGACTAGGTCGGGCCGTTTTGGAAATTTTGGAAATTTCGGAAATTTCGGAAATTTTGGAAATTTCGGAAATTTTGGAACTTCTGGAATTGATTTTCAATGGGCTGATTGTGACCCATCGGATGACAGACCATGCACTACGACTCACTTGCAAAGGCAAGGTCTGTTTAGACGATTGTCAGTGTTTATTTATTTATATATATATATATATATATTATTTTTTTAAAAATTGGCACTCCTACGAATACTATTACCAATACTAATACTGACATTGATCATTTGCTGACTGCCCAAGCTAATACCAGCCTTAACACTAATATTTACACGTTTTTAAGCCAATACGAATAGGCACCATACAAATACTAATGATGATTAATACTGACGCTCATACTCCTACGCATATCAATAATTATGCCCATATTGGTAGTAGTGTATTTCAATACCAATACTAATACACACCTACATATACCAATGTACATAAATATACATACCACTATATTAAAGTACAAATACATTAGCTCATGCATGTATTTATCTGTTAGTATTTTCATTTAATCAGGAGTAATACTACTATAAGACAAACGCTCATGCGAATACATAACCTCATTTTAATATTAGCAGTAGCACTAGCACTAGCACTATTACTAATACCAATCACACTGTTTATACCAACACCAAAATTTACATAAGCATTGATACTCCTACGTATACTACTGCGTATACTCTTATGCTGTTAACAGTAATGCTGTCACCAATACTAATACTGACATTGACAACTTGTTGAATATTCAAGATACTGCCAGTATTAATACCATTCTTAACACTTATACTAAGGCTAATGCGGCTATGGATAATCCTAATACGAATATTAACATTAATACTCCTACGAATACCAATAGTCATATTCATATTGATGTGAAGACTACTACCATTACAAAAGACACGTGCATATGCTAATGCACACCAGAACACATACCATTATCCTAAAATGCCGATATGTATCAATGCATTCATGTACTGATGTTTTAGGACAAGCATATACCCATATGCCAATGTAACAATACACTACTTGTTAATGTGTGAATATACTATACTAGTATGCTATTATACTAGTATGCTACTATACTAGTATACGACGACTGTTATATGCAAGTATACCGACATGGCAGGTTAGTGTACTAATATGACAACATACTGACATACTTATGAATCTTTAGACAATACACGTATATTGCCAATACTCGTATACTAATACACTAAAGTACGAATATACTGGTATGTTAATATACTACTAGTTTACTCATGCATCAGTTGTACTAAAGTATTAAATCTACGAATATGCAAGTATACAAATATGTTGCCTCTCGAACACATCAATGTATTGATATACTAACCTGCTGATCTACGAAACTATCAGAATAGTAACATATCGAAACTAACTCTACTTTTGATACCAATACTAGCACCTCTGCCATTATTAACTGATATTAAACCCAGCATGAAGACTGATACTAATACTAGCAGTGGTACTATTACTGGCATTGACACTGGCACTAGCACTAAGATTAAAACGAAGATGAGCACTAACATTAATGTATACGTACTACTGTCGATATATACATATATATATATATATATATATATACTTACAGTAAACACTAATACTATTGCTGATACTAATACTAATACCAATATTAATACTCATACTCATCCTATACCAATGCTACCACAAAACTCAAAACTCACGTGTCGCGCGTCTGGTCCATGCGTCCTCAGTACATGGCATGTTAAAAGTATACTTGGTATATGTACTGTAAAGGATTTGCTTTACAGATTGTCGTCATGTGTGGTGTGTTTAGATACAATATCTCA